GATATGACGCAATTTATAATAGATTTTTTTTCCAATAATGACATTCATGAGTATTTTACAATGACGTCTATGATTCAATCTTTCACTTTATGGAAGCTTTAGTATAACATAGACGAACGACATTACTCATCGAAAATGTAGAAGAAAAAGAAAAAAAAATGCACACTTTGATATAACATTTTTGTTCTTTTGCGTCAATGTAAGTATTTTCAGGTGGAAAACAAATAAAACAACAATTGTGAAACGTAGATTCAAAAATTACAAAAGAATCATATACGTGTATACGGTGAAACATGTAATATTCTTTTCATACAAATTTTACCGTACTAGAAAATCAAAATTGTGGATGTGTGAATAGACGCTTGTAAGTGTACTCGAAATAGGCATTTGAAACATATTTTCTTTATTTGATCTGTTTGTATTCGAGTTCTCAAACATGTATCGATATTTTCATATTGATTGAAGTTTTCAATACTTAGTGAGCGGAAGCTTATCGAAAGCATATTATAGATTTGTGGAATCACTTAGAAACACGCAAAGTCTATCGAATTTGAGAGTATTTTTATAAAAAAAAATATATTATGAGAATCATTTTGATTGATTTAGTAGAAGTTCATTCGAAACAAGAACACTTAAAATTACTAAGTTTCATTTTCAGTGTTTGACACATGAAGAACATTCATACTTTTTAAAGTAATATTTATTAAGAACTGATGAATGTTTAAAAAAAAACCTGTCATTATTATTCGCAAAACTATAATCCTTAGAAATTTTTTGTTGTATTGAAAGCTACATAAAAAGGATTATATTGATTGCATAATTTAGTACACAAATGTACTATTTATCAAATCAATTCTTTATATAAAATACAGATTTTTAAAAGAGCTTTATCCTTAGGTCAACAATGTAACAAAATATTTAAAACGTGACATAAAACAATTTCTCAACCACGAGAATTCGAACATATTTTTAAAAAATTATTCACCAAAATATGTTGTAGACTGTGTTCATGCATAACCTAATTGGTTGTGAAGTTGTTTTGATTTTCTTATTTTACTCATTGACTTTTCGACGAGAAACGACATCTTCTATCAGTGTACTGCAGAATAGATTTCGTTCTGATCATGCTTTAGTATGTATTTTTTCAAATGAAAACTAGAGTAAAAAAAGGCATAAACAATCATTACGATAAAATGTACACAAATGTATTTTACAAAAATGAATCATGGGATAATTACAGTTACAATACCGACTGCCAATAAATTTACAATAGATCAATCATGTTTTATTGTCTTATTTTTTGAATATCAAAAAGCTCTTGATCAAGCCTGTAACAAGACCAAATTAGTTCTTATCAAAGCTGTTCTTCACGAATTTTTCTCTGTCCTAAACAGAAAAAAGGACGTCTAACTATACACGTGTTTTTTCTTATTGTGTTTCGTTATTTGCACTGGAGTTTTTCCAAAATCATATGCTGAAGGAAATTCTTTTATCAATCGCAAACTCTACAGATGAAAAACTCAGATACTATTGCAGAATAATTTTCGATATGGATTAAATTCCTAAATTCTTTTTGAATTTCAGACTTCAGGCCATCAAAATATCTCACAAGAAAAGATTTAATTATTCCAACACTTTTTGCAAAGAAAGATTTCTGCGTAGAAATCGATGTCATAAGCATGGAGAATTATTGTATGACTAACAACATGGTACGATCGTTAGAATGTTTATTAGCCGATCAACTAACGTATCTAGAAAAGGTGTGTCATAACAACTGACGATAAATTATAAATGACATTTTTTATAATTTCTTTTTTTGAAGCAGTTAGCTGAAATTCTTATTATCTATATATATTTCATGAGGACTTCTAATTTATCATCTTTCTACCTCTTTAACTACAACTAATAGTAAAACGCATTGAAAAACCTTAAAATATACAAATCTTCGTACTTCACATTATAAGATAGATTCGTCGGTAGTCAATGAAAAACCCACAATGTGTTCAGAAACTTTTTCTTTTGCATTAGACTTTGTAAACTTTCGTTTGCTGATCATTTCAGTACAATGGTTTTTCAAAATTTATCAAGAAATGATGATATTATAGATGAAATACCAAACATTATAAACTAGGATTAAAAGTTTATTCGCATATGTCAGTATGGCTAAAATCTAGAAAAGTGCGACGTCATAGGTTTTGCTGAGAAAAACTTGCACTACGAAGTCCTATAGTCAATTACTCAGATGGCGTGTGGAGTGGGTGTGAGTATGAGATGTGGGGCAGGATGTGAGCGTCGATATCACTTTTTATTACTACATCCACACCCACACTACAGCCCACCTGCACTCTCAATAAATCGATACGAAACATTCGGAAAAGCTTTCTCCATACCTGGCCATTGTTGCCTGCAAGGTTTTGAATGAAATGTTGTACTAAAGAGTTATGAGATACCGACGATCATCGCGTTGCTGTTCAAGATTCAAAAACATCAATATTGAAGCAGCTGAACCTAACTTTTAGATGATGAAAGATCAAAGTCTGATCTTTAATTTCACATAAAAATATTCAGAATTAATCAAGTACTTGACTAGAAGCAGGGCAAACATTTGTAAGGACTTTCTCTAAGTTTCGAAATTCAGGGCAAAAGAGTATTATCGTCCATCATAATTTTGTTTCTAATAAACCTACCTAGATGCGGGCGGCACTACTAATCTACATTACTTATGGAGTATATGCCCACAAATTTTCAAACCTTTAGCTCTTATCATAGATGAGATTCGGAGGAGGAGAGAGACTTTTGTCCACAGGTATACAGGTAAAAAAATAAATAAATAAAATAACCAATGAACTCGTACTACTCATCATTAATCTATTTACATATATTTCATTGAACGAAATCCATATTTCTCTACATATACATAGACCATGTAGTCGTGGGAAAGTTTCAACATGAATTGGGAAAAAAAATATATATGAAGGAAAGATGAAGCTAGGAAATGTCCGATATTTCTGTATAATGACTATAAGGTGGATCTCCATGAGTCATGGCATCATATCTTCGTTCTCTTTCGTTCTGCCAGGTATTTTTCCTAGTATATTCTCTTTAGTTTTTCCTGTTCTTTCTTCCTTTTTTGCCTGTGATGATTCATGTATTTTTATAACTGTATTATGTTATGTATTGGTGTATTCCAATCTGCTTCTAATATCTTATATAAATACCTGTTGTTTCTATGTAATGTTAGACGAATGATTAGAGAAGCTAGAGAAATTAACTGATTCAAATTCAATAAAGCAATTTATACATACAGCAATATATCGAGCATAACATAATCATTCAATTGAAGTATTGACTACAATTCTTTATTTTAGACTTCAATGACGAATCAAACTTCAACTAATTCATCAAATGATATGATAGCAACTCAACCTCAACAAACGGTTGATAGCGATCTGATATTAAATCAAGGTATTGTTTCATTATCAATTAACAGTCCTGAACAACAGTATAATGAGGTCCAACGAAAACAATTTATTCAAAAACAACTTGTTTTATTATTACATGCACACAAATGTCAACAACGCGAAAACCAAACTATTAATGATGAAATAACACGCCCAAGTGCATGTACATTACCACATTGTAGTACTATGAAAAATGTTTTACAACATATGAAAAAATGTACTGATCATGAAACATGTACTATTCCTCATTGCGTTACTTCACGTCAGATTATTTCACATTGGAAACAATGTAATGATTATCAATGTTCAGTTTGTCAACCATTTAAAGCATCATCAACCTCAGCTCTATTAAATCAAACAACAAATAATAATACTAATACAATAAATGTACCAATAACAATCAATAAAGAATGGCAAAGACATGTTACACAAGAGATGCGTCAACATCTTGTACAAAAAATTATAACAGAACTTCTACCAATAACTAATACGGGTGCTATTCGTGATACAAGTATTATTAATTTAGCTGATTATGCTCGATATCTTGAAAATGAAACGTTTGAAATAGCTAATAGTCATGAAGAATATTTTCATAAACTAGCTGAAAAAATTTATAAACTTCAAAAAGAATTAGATCTTATCAATTAAAATATCAATTTTAACTAATACCAAATAATATAAATGCAGCAATAGCATCAAAAATTAATCATTTTATGAGGTTAAGATAAGTGACACACATTTTGTACATTCACTGGCAGCAGAGTCAATGTAATTAACGTTGCAGATAGCGCTCGTGAATTTAGAAAGTGTGTGTATCTTATTTTCACCATTTTATGAATAGATGAATAATTTATTGAAGAAAAATTTTTTGATTTTATTTCGATAGTGAAAAATAATAAACAGATAATAATAATAATAAATGTGGAAACCTCGGATTTAAATCGAAGAGTTATGTGTACTTTAAAAAGTGAATCAAACAAATCGGTCATCCTAGAATGTGTGGATATAAAAATTAGCCTGGCAAATTCTTTCTATAAACACTTGAATTCTATTGTCTACTGCTCAACCAATAGGATTTCGTGGTGAATACAGAGTGTGGGTGTCGATATCTTCTCATCACATACATCAACATCCACACCCTCTAATATTTTGAAATAGACAATAGTATTCAAGTATGTTACTTTACGTTAGCTTCTGTCTACATTCACAGACTATTTCAAAATGGTTCAGAAAGACAGCGAGATGTTTTAAAACAGAAAAAAAAGCACATTTGAGAATTTCTTCCATTCATTAGAATTGATTAATTTCAATAAGCATTGATAAAAAATAGAGAAAATATATTTTTAGAGATATAAAAACGATCAGCAAGATATATTTGCCATTAACTCGACCAAAACTGATTAGACTTACTTTCTTTTGCATATAACATTTGGTACAATGAAGAATAAAAATTACTATTCTTGATATGATCTTGGGTGTGAGTGTGGTGTGTGATGCTTGTATTCTATGCATGCACACCCACACTCCATGTATTAAATAGTTTTCAACAGATCTTGAAAACTAGAGACCTCTACTCAGTGAAAAAAAAGTCAGATTATACGTGATTTTGTCAGATTATCATATACGTATAGTACTCAGGATTTTGTTTGATTATCAGAGAAAAAGTTTTTTTACGAAAATTGGCATAGGGCGATGTTCGCATGAGATAAGGTTGTATGAAAAATTTCATTGCGATCAGATTTTCCTTCCAAAAATTATCATGCAAACGACTGGAAAGATACATTGAACGATTCTAAAGTGTGCTCACGTTTTGAGTACACAAAAACGTTTACTCATGTCACGCCTTATTGTCAGAGAAACCATGATTATGGTCTGCCTCCTTCAATACACTCGCCATCTATAGTGAGACACAATTCTAATACGAGTATTCCTAAACAGATCGAAATTTCTTTCG